TTGAAATTTACATCCCGTGCAACGCACGGGTGAAATAGTAGTTACTTTTAAGAAGAATTTTTCTTAGCATGAGTTGACGGTGGGCTACATTTAAGGGGTTCCCCCCCCCCCCCCAATATTCCTATACTAAAGCTAATTTTCATAAAAGTGACCACATTTATATTTAGACAAAAATGTGACCAAGATGCTTATTCATGTCACTGCACCACTTCCATGTCACTGTCAGATGTAACTGTCACCGCCACTTCCCGTGTCATTGCCACCGCCACCACCCGTGTCACTACCGCCGCCGCCGCCGGCTACAGTGACATTTCCGCAATGACATTTCTGTCCCAAATTCTGGTCATAGTGACACGAATACATTTACATCCTCTACTACCTCCGGGTGGTGACCGCCGCGGCAACAATGACGTCGACACAGTGACGCCGCCCCCAACAACAACAATACAATTTTCTAGCTGCATAGTCCAAGCCACCACTGCCACCACTGCACGTCCCCCACCGCCGCTTCCCTATCCACTGCTGTCGTCCTTGCACTGTCCACCGCCACTGCCCCTGTCAGACCCACAGCTGCCACCTTTACCACGTCCATAGATGTCGGCCTTGCCCCATACCAAACTGTGAAAGCCCACACACTAGCTCCCCAGTCCCCCAGCCAATATCCCGTGCACCAGATCCCCACCCAGCCCCCAGCCCCCGCCCCTAGCTAACACTACACACCAGATCCTCATCTAGCCCTCAACCCCGTACTCCATGTCCCTAGCCTAACCCCCTGTCGTTCCCTCAGGCCCTCTCCGACATCGAGGACGGCGTATGCGGCATTTGTTGATCCAATTCGGAGTGGTTTTCACCGAATTTAGCAAATGCAGAACCGGAGGCCCAAAAAACGGGTCATCATCTACCGACGAAGCCAGATCCGGCACCGGCGAAGGCGTTTCCCATCGAGGACGACGGTTCCGGTGGAGACACGTCCATCGATCTCGGATGACGGAGGAGGCATTCGGTTTCAATTGCAGCCGATGGAGAATGAGAAGGAGAAGAGTAGCGGCAGGGAGGCGGCGGAGGAAGAACGCGGGCGGCAGAGGAAGAACGCGGCAGTCCGTGGGCTGGGTAGAAAGAAGAAGCAGGCGAAGAAGAATGGGCAGAAGTACAGGAAGGGAAGAAGAAACGTGAGATGCGGAAGATGCAAACGGGTGTTTGACTCACTTTTGTGTCCAAACTTAAATGGGTTATATTTTTATCCAGCCAAACCCCTGAAGTTATATCCATGCCATTGTTTCTACATTTAAAAAGCACCATGCTTTCCCGCTTTATTGTTCTGCGTTTTCCTTTTTTCGGACTATCAACCAACCGATTGTCCAACATTTGACTCTCTCCATTTCATTCTTCGTTTTAATACCCATAATTAGGGGTGGACTGGGACGGGTCAGCCCGACCCGGGACCCTACCAGGCCCGCTACCGTGAAGGCCCGACCCGGTTGATCGAGACCAAGACCAAGCTCGGGGCTCGACCCGGATGAAGGAGGCGGTATCGGGCTCTGATTTTAGTGGACCGGTCCTGCCTAAAGGTCAAGAATTCAAAAAAAAAGCATGATATTGTTTGGCCCAACCCGACCCCATATCGGTACAAACCCGGGCCGGTATCGGGGTGGATAATTTTGGACCCGTAGCCCGCCCAGTCCCCGCCCAGAGTCCGGCCCGGACCTGGCCCAGTCCACCTCTACCCTCAATTAGTCCCCAATGTAAGAAGTTAGAAGTCTCAAAGTTCCATAATTAACATTTTGGATTCCTAATACCCTAACTTTACAAATGATCTTACATGAAAAATCGGTATCTCTAAACTCCAAATGGATGATCCCCAAATACTTGCATATATTATGGCTCTCGTAATGATTCATGAAATCAGCATCATCTAAAATTGGAATCAATGATTCATAATATCATTCATATTCCCAAATATTAAAAATAACGTCTTATTCACTCTTTAATTGCATGAAGTTTATAATATGTTCCATATATATCAAATAAATGTTTTTTGGAACTCGTTTAAACTGGCATTTATTTCATCTACATATGATTATTCAACTCAAATTTTATCTCATATTAGGAATATCATACATAGCCAAATCTTAAAATTTGAAACATGATTTTGATTAGAATAATATTAAAGAAGTTAGAAATTTTATACTTTTATGAAATTTTTTTGTTAGATTATAAATAATTTCCAATAAGTATGTATAGTTGGTCAAAGTTTTAAATATGACCAAGTATTTTTTGGGATGGAAGTAATATGGTTAAACTTGAGCCTTTGACCTTCTTAAAAGGGAAAACTGTCAATTTGGTCCTTGTACTTTCATGAAAAAGTCAATTAGGTCCTCGTACTTTTAAGAAGATCAATCAAATCCTCAAACATTTTAAAAACGTTCAATTGAGTCCATTTGTAGGTTACTTGTCATGTCAGCAGGTCTATCGCTGACATGGAACACATGTGGCAGCCCAATCAGCAATAATTTTGCTCACGTGGCACATATGTGAATGTCCGGTCAGCCATTTGATGATGACGTGGCGCACACGTAGACCGCCATGTGTGTGCCACGTCAGCGGGTAACCCGTTGACATGACAAGTAACCTGCAAATGTACTCAATTAAACGTTTTTACAAAGTTAGGAGATTTAATTGGTTTTTTTAAAAGTCTGCAAATGTACTCAATTGAACGTTTTTACAAATTGACATGACAAGTAACCTGCAAACGTTTTTTTAACCTAATTGACTTTTTCATGAAAGTACCAGGATCAAATTGATAGTTTTTCCTTCTTAAAATGATTTTTTCGACTACTTACGGGAAAATACTCAATATCTTTTGTGTACAAATCTCGAGTCAAACAAAAGGTTATTTGTGTCCATTATTCTCGACTCAAACAAATTTACGACAAATGATACTTTTTATTGTAATGGATATTATTCATAATGTCGCCAGGCTGTTTTAAGAAACTTCAACCGTCTGTAGTGCACTTTCTTAGGATCTGTTTGAAACAGTTTCTGCTTTAAAAAAAGTGCTATTTTAATGAAATGGGAAAAAATGATTAAATAAAAGTTGATAGTGTTTGAGAAAAAGTGTTTTTGAAAAGTAAAAGTTGGTAGTGTTTGGTAAAATAAGTACTTTTTGTGTAATAGAAAAAGTAAAATCACTTTTGACACGAAAGCCGAGAAAAATAAAAGTGACAGTGTTTGGTAAAGTAAGTGCTTTTTTAAAGCCAAAAAGTTGAGAAGTGCTTTTTTTAAAGCGTTTGCAAACCAACCCTTAATCAATGTGACATGTATTTGAAGAGCGTGTTGTGTTGTGCTAATACGAAGCATTTTATGCAGCAATCTTTAGTGATTTTGAAGTTATGATCCATTTAGGGGTGTTTGGATCTGATTCTTAAAACTGCTTCTGCTCCTTCAGGGAGCAGAAGTAAGAGTGTTTGGGTGAAAGTGCAGAAGTAATTCTGATGCTCTAATTTATTCCTAGAATCAATTTTTTTAGAAGCTGGGAGAGACCAGCTTCTGAAAACTGATTATGATTCTATTTTAAAAAAGTACCAGAAGCAGAATTAGTTCCAAACACCCCCTTATTAGCTATTAGTGCGGCAGCTTCTCAAGCTGTTAGTGCAAAATTCGGTTTAGAGTTAAAACGATCGCATAACGTTGATGCAGTTGATCATTAATGATTAATATAAGTTGGGGATGGACCCGGTCCCGGTCCGTGAAATGTCAAGCCCAGAACCGAACCGTTATATTCAAGGTTTAGGCCGGTTCTGGGTACTCAGGAGGTCCGGTCCCAGACCCATTCCAGTCTATATATCCGGTTTTATGCTAAAAAAAATTGGCCGGTCCAGTACCGAAAATGGACCGGAACTCCCCAGTTCGCTCTTAAATATTGGAACCCTGAACCGGTAACCGCTTTTACCCGGTCGGGTACCCAGTTGGACCCGAGGGCCGAGACCGAAAAAGTGGACCCAATCCAGTCCCACACAGCAGCAAGCCCACTTCCACCCTTAATATAAGTATGGGTGGATCCAAATTTGTTTGTTTAGGTTCCGTCCACGGCAAGGAAGAACTAAGTATGGGTGAAAGTGTGAAACCAATTCAAATCCAATTTGTAGTCTATCTAAAAAAAATTAAGAATATTTAAGCATGGAACCGAAGCTAGTTTTTTAGCCCATTTTTTTTTAAAAAATAAGAATATTTAAACATGGAGCCACAGGTTCACATTAAAGCATCAAAGTCCAGGAAACTGATCTAGTACTCCACTTGCAATACTCCAGCCCTGTTTGGCAACCAGGTCCACCCCTAAGTGCAATGTTACATCTAAAAGGTACTAGTGTAATGTAAAGAGCCTTGCAATTAGGGGTGGACTCGGACCGGTTCGGGTCCGGACGGGCCTCGGTTCATGAAAGGGGAGGCCCGGAACCGGCCCAGGTAACCCCCGGGTCTGGGCCGGGCCAGGCCTCAGTTCAAATTAATTTTTTTTTTTGCTTTTCCTAATTAACCCCAACCCTCCCCCCTCACCCCCAAACCACCTCAAATGGTCCAAAATACCCAGCCCAACCCAACCCAAAAAACATAAAAAAAATTCAAAAAAAAAAAAGAAAGATATAAAAATAAATTGGCCCGAACCGGCCGGGCCGGTTCACCTTTTCAGGGGCCCGAGCCCGGCCCGGGACCCCAGCGGGTCGGGCCTACCCGGACCGGTCCCTGGCCGGGCCGGCGGTTCGGGCCAGTTCAAACAGTGATCGGGCCGGGCCGGTTCCTGGCCGCCCGGCCCGAGTCCACCCCTACTTGCAATGAAACACAAGATTTTTGCAACAAGAATTACTTGTTTATAGTTAAATCATTGGATTCCGGAGCCCAGCCCAGCCCTAGTTAGATGTGTTACTATGACTTGCAGTATAAAAGTTGATGTATGTTAACTAATGGCATGTCTATAAAAGATTTTAGTGCAATTTGAAGATTGGAACTTAAAAATCCGTGGAAAGATATTGCGGCAGTTTGAAGATTGTATGATGTGAAGCATCTGTGGCTTGCTCACCATCAGTTAGTTAAGTTGTAAACTGATGAAAAAGATTCAGATCTAGCAAACCAATGTTTAGACAATGCACAAACTGCAAAAGCCGAGCAAATGTAATGCATCAATGGTCACATTTAATACAATATAGCTAAACACAGTTACAGTAAAATCATTCCATATGAATGTAAATTTGGCGTGCATAGATCATGTTAGGGATATGGTAATGATGTCAACGACGATGTCAAAATATGCAGATGAGGTGGTTCATGGTTGGACCAATATGACTATTCAAAAGGAGGTTCCAAAGGGGAGTAGCATGTATGTATCACTTCTCGCACCCCATAACGGATTTAGCCAGCAAGTGGATTTGCATGTATTGTAACTCGACTTAATCTAATCTCAGCAAGTGGTCGATCCCCTGGTCCACATGGGGTCTGCACAATACCAATAACAGTTTAAACAGATTATTGCTGGGGGGGGGGGGGGGGGTAAGCGCGATTAAAGATGCAATTGACTATGCCATACTTAACAAATATCAATATAACTAAAACCTCTTAGAATGGCTAATAAGGTCAACGCTGAAACATAGCTTCTACATCATGCATGTGGGGATTTGTTTCAAACGCATAGATGATGGAACTATGTGTCAGTGTAGCAGTGAGGGACTAGAAGAATAGAAGAATATACCCTCTGTATGTTTATTAACCCAAATACAACATTAGCCTACGTATGCAGTAGGCCGCTACCCACTGGTAGCTTGTTCATTACAATGAACGGAATATTAAATCTCTGTCAGTCAACACGATATCAAAGCCTCTTCTGCAACCTATCTTATTCCACATTTGGAGTGAGAACAAAAGGCTTTAGCAAACTTCTGTTCTCTGGTATGCTTGGTCCTATTTGCTACTGATGGCTTCTCAGTAAAATTAACATCTCACCATTAGTCATCACTCCCTGATTGTCACAACAACCATACACATAAATCCTGCTTGTCATAAGATTAGCAAGTAATCCAAATGCACTACTTCTAGCCTTTTTTTATATTTGCGCTTTCTTCTGTCGGTCAATTTAACCCAATGGAAATCTTCACCCTCCTGGAAGCCGCTGTGGTGTTTTCCATGTGTCACCAGAGCAGCCATGGACTCTCAGTTACTTCACCTACTATTTCCATTACACTTGTGTCTGTCCCTCTTTAGCATATGTCTCCAATCATGGGCAACATATACTACATTCCGGTTTCTCGAGTCAGTTAAAACTGACTTGAAGTTAGAGGTGGGTCAAGTCACATGACATGAGGGAAGCAAAAGAACAAAGGATGGCTCAATACAAAGATTCAGTCTCAAAAGATTATGCTGGATTTTAAAAAGGCCCATAATTTTTCACTTTCGGTTTTCCGCGTAAATATTGTTCTATTATTTACTCATGTGCCATGGTAATGGGTCAAGTCATAAGAGCAACTAAAGCAAAGGAATAAAGGGTGAAGTGGTTATAGACTTGACTCAGGTAATGGTGCTGGATTCCATAGCAATCCCATGGTTTTTTTCCTTTTGATCTTTGACATAAATATCAGTGTGTTCATTCACTGATTCACAAAAACATCCACACATGATTCATTATTTCATTATTTTATCTCAATATTACTCCAGTCCATCTCGTTGCACCATATACTTGAACTATCTTTCTTAAGTAATGAAGGAGTGAAGAACTAAAATTCAGGACTAAGCATTGTAATTATTTCTTAAAGCTGAGTTATTTGCAAGGATTATTCCTCACATGAATACCGCTAACATTACCCTATACAAATTGTAGTTTTACAGCCATATCAACCTTGTTCTTAGTAATCAATACACCCACCCACCGTAGGGCTGCTTCCTGGGATATAGTTCCACTAAAGCTAGACCTCATACAGAAATCCAGGAATGAGGAAAACTATAGTTCTGGCAAGAAATCTGGGAAGTTACCTTTTCCATGACATCAAGGACATCAAACCCATGAATAACTTTTCCAAAGATAGTATACAATCCATTGAGATGAGGTTGCTTCGCATAACTTATGAAGAACTGGCTACCATTTGTATTTAGACCACTGTTGGCCATTGATAATATACCTCTAGCATTATGCTGCAAAAAAACAAAATCGGTGTATGTGATTTTTTGACAAGTTTGTGATCTAAACTACCTAAAAGTGCTTTTGTAGATAGAGTAACATATCACTACCGTATAACTCAGGGCATGCCCGGTTAATGCTGCAATTTATATTTTAATTTGATAAATTTACTTAATCATCATCATCCCAGTGCCGCAAAGGCTCCCACCTACGGTAGGGTAAGGAGGGTCGGAAGTACACAGTCTTACCCCTGTACTAAAGCACAGAGAGACATAATTTGGATGACCCATGGTAAAAATCGCTTCAAAAATTGCATGGAATGACTACTGCTTCGCAACAAAGAAGCTCAGACAGTTTAGTGAACCACTTTGCTTTATTCCATCATATTCCCAAGCAAAGAAAATAGTGAATCTTTGGCTCCATTGCAAATGATGGAAAGAATTTGATAAATTTACTTAAAAGAAAATATTTATAAGATGCCTTTACAAGAACTACTTTTATCACAATTGAGTTAGAGTGTGTGTGTGCGTGCGCGTATCATGGCTTAAAAGGGACTTTTGACGCTTGTCTCAGTGTAAGGCAGTGAAAAAAAGCCTAAGCTTATGTTTCAAGCAAACGAACTGAGGATTAAGAAGCCTCAGAAGGTTTAACACGGTGGGATGGTGAGAAAATACTTCTCTGTTTTCTGTATATTGAATTTCCTGGAATCATGTACATGTATATATATACTAAAACTACTATAGAGACCTGCCTTACTTAGGAGATCTCCAGAGATTACAGAGATTACTTCCTATTTAGTATAGACAGAATAAATCTCATTAATAAAGACAGAATAAATCTAATTATGGTAAACTAGATATACACGGAAAGAAAATATTCTTGAACACTCCCCCTCAAGCTTGGTGTAGATGTTAATCAATCCAAGCTTGTTGGATAAGAACTGAAATGTGTCACGTCCGAGAGCCTTGGTCAGAATATCAGCTGTCTGATGCTTGGATGGAACATAACTGACTATAGCAATACCTTTGGCAACATTGTCAGAGATAAACTGTCTATCAACTTCAACATGCTTAGTTCGATCGTGATGGACAGGATTCTTTACAATGCTGATAGCTGATTGACTATCTGATAAGAAATGAATAGGCCCTACTGATCCAATCTTCAATTCATTTAGAACCCGTCTTAGCCATATTCCCTCACAGATGCCTAGAGCAAGAGCCCTGTATTCGGCTTCAGCGCTACTTCGTGCCACCACATCTTGTTTCTTGCTCCTCCATGTTACAAGATTTCCCCAAACATAGCTGCAGTATCCCGTAGTTGACCTTCTATCGGTCAATTCCCCTGCCCAGCTGGCATCTGTATACACAGTAATGTCCCGGACTTCAGTCTTCTTGAAGTGTATACCCTGACCAGGAGTACTCTTCAAGTACTTGAGAATTCTAACCACCATTTCCATGTGTTCCTCATTCGGAGCATGCATGTGTTGGCTCACAATTCCAACAGCAAATGCAATGTCAGGCCGAGTATGTGCAAGGTATATCAATCGGCCTACTAACCGTTGATAGTTTCCCTTGTCTACCTGTGGAACATCTTCAGTTGCACTTAGCTTTTTGTTCTGCTCCATTGGTGTGTCCACTGGCTTGCAGTTCGTCATGCCAGTGTCATTCAGCAGATCCAAGATGTACTTTCTCTGAGAAATGACTATTCCCTTGTTTGATCTTATAATTTCAATTCCGAGAAAATACTTTAGACTACCAAGATCTTTGATTTCAAACTCTCTGGCAAGCTGATCTTTGAGAAGTTGTATTTCTTCAGCATCATCTCCCGTTATTATGATGTCATCCACATATACAATGAGGATTGACACCTTCCCTTGATTTGAATGCTTCACGAAGAGTGTACTATCAGTTTGACATTGATAATATCCCCCCTCTATGACAGTCTTAGCAAACCGTCCAAACCACGCTCTTGGGGACTGTTTCAAGCCATACAAGGCTTTCTTTAACTTGCACACCATCCCACTTCTTAGATGCTGAATTCCTGGTGGAAGACTCATGTAGACCTCTTCTTCTAGGTCACCGTTCAGGAATGCATTTTTTACGTCAAGCTGGTATAGTGGCCAGTCCAAGTTAACAGCAAGAGATAGAAGCACACGTACCGTTTTGAGTTTTGCAACAGGTGCAAAGGTTTCCTCATAGTCAATACCTTGAGTTTGAGTGAACCCTCTTGCAACCAGCCTAGCCTTGAGTCGTTCAACAGTGCCATCTGCCTTGTATTTCACTGTAAAAAGCCATTTGCAGTCAACAATATTCTTTCCATTCGGCAGGCGAACAATTTCCCATGTTCTGTTTTTTTCCAAGGCGTGAATTTCTTCCATCACTGCTTTCTTCCATTCAGGTGATTCCATAGCCTCATGAATGTTGTTTGGTACAGTAACATTATCAATCGCCATTGTAAGAGCTCTGTGAGTATCACTTAGACGATCATATCTCACTTGGTTCTCAATCGGATATCTTGTGCAGCTACGCACTCCTTTCCTTAAGGCTATAGGAATATCAAGATCGTCATTAGGAGCTTGACACTCCTCCATCGGTTGAACCAGGTCTTCAGCTTCATCATGGAGTGTAGAATTTTGTTCTTCACTACATTTCTCACTCTTATTGTCATCTTTGTTCTTCCTCCTTTGATACACCAGTAATGGTTTCAACACTTGATCATGTCCTTGCTCGGGTTCATCTGACACGGGAGGAAGGTTCTCCCCCTGCACTCCAACTTGCACTCCAACTTGTTTCTGCCCGGGTTCATCTGAAACAAGAGCAAGGTTCTCCCCCTGCGCCTCCATAGTTGATGTAGGCACCTCAGATTCAGTTGAAATAAGGTCCACAAACTGCTGTGGTTCACACACAACCGGGTCAGACTTCTCCCCCTGAAGCACAGTTGGTTTGAAGAAGGATTGAGACTCAAAGAAAGTCACATCCCGAGTGTTATATACCTTCCGCGTAGAAGGTACATAGCACTTGTAACCCTTTTGAGCAGCAGAGTACCCAATCAGCACACCTTTGATGGAACGGGGATCCAATTTTGACCGATTATGAGGCGCAACGTGAATAAACACAGTACAGCCGAACACTTTCGGAGATAGATCTGAGGTAAAACTGGCAATATGTGGGAAATATTTAAGTAATACCTGTCGAGGTGTCTTAAACTGAAGCACGCGGCTGGGAAGCCTATTAATTAGATAGGTAGCTGTGAGGACCGCCTCACCCCATAGATGTTGAGGTACATGATGCGTGAACATAGCTGCTCGAGCAACTTCAAGTAAATGTCGGTTTTTACGCTCTGCAATTCCGTTCTGTTGTGGTGTTTCCACGCAGGAGCTAGCATGAATAATCCCATGTTCAGTCAAATACTTGCTCATATTCTGGTTAACGTAATCATGAGCATTGTCTGTTTTTAGTACTTTTATGTTTTCTTGGAACTGAGTTTGAACCATTCGGTGGAAATTCTGAAATATACCAGTAGTTTCAGATTTTTCGTTCATCAAGAAAGTCCATGTGAGCCGTGTATGGTCATCAATGAACGTGATGAACCATCGGGCACCATTGATATTTCGGACCTTCATAGGACCCCAAATGTCACTGTGCACAATTGCAAATGGCTTAGTAGGCTGATAACTAGATCCAGAGTAGACAGTGCGAGCATGTTTTGCAAGTTGACAAACATCACATTCAAATAACTTGGCACTTCTTTTATTGAATAATTTTGGAAATAATTTTTCAAGGTACATAAAGCTGGGGTGACCCAGTCTATGATGCCATAGAACTACTTCATCAGTACTACTATCTAAGCTAGCTACAATATGAGCACTTGTAGACTTAGAGCTAGACTCCTCCAACTCCTGCTCCGTTCCTCGCAAAATGTATAGGCCATCACGAACCTCACCACTGCCAAGGATCATTCCCGTCCCCTCTTCCTGTAACACACAATGAGGAGAACTGAACTTAACTTCACACCCCAAATCATGAGTAACTTGACGGATAGACAACAAATTGCAGTTCAGTTTTGGCACATAAAGGACAGGAAACAAGGTGAGATTTTGAGTGACCTTAACCAAACCAATTCCAGCAATGGGTGCTAAGGTACCATCAGCAATCCTAACCCCTGTCTTATGAGGGTAAGGTTGCATGTTCTGGATGAGGTTTAAGTTCCCAGTCATATTATCAGTTGCACCGGAGTCAAGTATCCAAACATTTGTGTGATGAGTATGTGAGACAAGGGCACTAGGTATGGTACCTGATTGCTCGAACAAACTGGAGACGAATCCCTTGGGTTCCCCTTTTCCAGCCTTGAGAACTTGAGAAAACATCTTCTGTAAAGCATCAAGCTGCCCCTTTGAGAATTGTGGTTCCTCCTCTGCTTCCCTACTGGTAGTCGCATTCGCACGAGGTTTATGGTGACCCATTCTCGATTTCCAGCCGGGGGGGCCTCCAATTATCTCCCAACATTCTGCCTTAGTATGGTGTGGAAGACGGCAATGTTCACACCACTTAGCTTTGCCCTTGTTCCGATTTGCCTGTGTGGCGAGAGCTGTAGCTAGCGTCTCAGTCTTGAGGGCAGATCCTTCAATAGATGGTTGAATTTCAGCAAGCATAAGCCTTCTACGATCTTCCTCCCGAAGCACATCTGCAAAGGCAGCCTTTAAGCTAGGGAATGGTTTTGTCCCCATTACCCTGCTTTTGGCCACGTCCAGTTCTTGTCGTAATCCAAGAAGCATCTTAATTGTTCGCTTTTTCTCAATAAACGTGCGAAAAATTTTGGCATCCTTAGTGGTTTCCCAGACAGGAGCCTCATACAGATTCAGTTCGAGCCATGTCCTGCTGAGTTTGTTGTAATACTCAGTTGCACTCATCTCTCCTTGTTTAAAATTGAACAATTTCTGTTCAATTGCAAACAATGCAGACGAGTTGTCTTGAGTAGAATAGGTTTCCTTTACATCGTTCCATAGGTCCTTGGCAGATTGATGTAAGAGATAGTTGTCTCCGATATCTGGCTCCATGGTTGAGATTAGCCAGAATCGGACTTGATTGTCGTCGTTGTCCCATTTGGTGAAAGCTTCAGAGTTGGAATCTTCTGGTTTTGCTGCCACTCCAGTCAAGTATTCCCCCTTTTGCTTTCCCGTGATGAACATACGTACAGATTGAGACCACTGAAGGTAATTCTTTCCGGTAAATTTCCGGACCGATATTCCTCCAGTTCCTTGGTCAGGATTCGTTCCATTGTTGCTTGTTGCCATCATGGTAGTGTTGGAAACAGCAGAGTTGTTTTCTGAATTGTCTTCAGAATTTTTAGAAGCAGGAGATTTCGATGAAGAAGAACTGTCACTGGTCATGACAGTCTTGAAGCTATTTCACCGGCAGCGGCAGCGGAGAGGCTAACCGGCGGCTCTGATACCATGTTAAATTAGGGTTAACACGGTGGGATGGTGAGAAAATACTTCTCTGTTTTCTGTATATTGAATTTCCTGGAATCATGTACATGTATATATATACTAAAACTACTATAGAGACCTGCCTTACTTAGGAGATCTCCAGAGATTACAGAGATTACTTCCTATTTAGTATAGACAGAATAAATCTCATTAATAAAGACAGAATAAATCTAATTATGGTAAACTAGATATACACGGAAAGAAAATATTCTTCAACAAAGAGGCTTAAGCCTCTAGGCATTTTATGAGGCTTATACTCTGTTTTTTTACTTTTCAATTTTAAACTTTTTTGTGAGGCTGATTTTTTAAATGAAATTCATACTATATATAATATTTTCCAATTACCAGTCACAAAGTTCAAAACAATCCCTAAAGCATATCTGCAAAAATCAAAACTTATCATCACATACTTCTACTTATAATAGTTATAAAGTTCAAAATACCTACAAGGCTACATCTATTCTGCACTCATGTAGAAGTGTGAATATTTCTTGTGAAGGTATCGAGCCACTATAGCTATTCTTCTCTCCCTTTGTCATCTTCCAGCGCAGCCCAAATAAGTCAGACAAATGCAGCTAGTCTTTTCTTTTTATTTGAAAAAAAAAAAAACAGAAGCAACGGAAGTTCTCTAACTTTTTTTTTCAAAATGCTCCAAATATAAAAAGTTCAAGTCTGAGGGCTTCAGCCATTTCTTCTATTTTGTTTCATTTAGCTTTTTCTGAATTTATTTTGGTAAGTCAATCCCAAATACTTTTCTCTAGAGAGTTAACCTTATGATAGAGGTCTATGACAGTTATTTGTCACATTTATGTATTGTTGATGAAATGACTAAGCTTTTGCGTGATTCTGAATTGTAAAGGAAGTTTTGCATATAGTTGGAGGTTTATGCCTTAAACCGCCCCAAGACTTACCCCCCCCCCTGCCTTACATATGCAAAAGACCTCATTTTTTTAAAACACCCCAATGCTTAAAAGCTCCATTTAAAAATACTTTGGTGAGTGTGTGATAGGCTGATAGCGTCTATGGCTCCATCCCAATTTTGGGGGTTCTCCTTGAATATGAGTTAATCGAAGCTCATTTTAAAAAAAGTGACTAACAAGTAATAAATTTGGAAAAACATGTCATTGATGTCACTGCTAGATTTTTATGTCACTAATGTTGCCGCCACACACTACCGCCGTGAAACATATCACTGTGACCGCTGGAAATTTTTCAGACGGCTTTTTCCAGCAATTTTTTTAAAAATGAAAAACGGAAACAAAAAAATCATTGAAGTTTTTCTGCGACTTTTCCGGTGGCAATTGCTGGCAGAGGTTGGGTGGTTGTGAGCTAGAGGTTGGGGTAGAGATTGGATATAAAATCATCATCATCATCATTAACCCAGTGCCGCAGATTGGATATAAATTACAATGAGAAAATTTTGGATTAATTAAACAAAAAGTTAGTCGTATTTTTTAGAGAGAAAAAGAAAACAAGTCATTTTTTTGTATTTTAAAAGGTTATTGTAGCTAATATGTGTGTCTTTTTTGCTTTAGAAATTACACACACATATGAATTATTATAAATAATAGAAATAAACCAGATCCTTCCAAAGACATCTACATACAGAGAGAGAGAGAGTGGAATTCAAGTGAAGCGCTCCAGACGGCAACGTGGTCAGGCCAACTTCGATTTTGGTCATTGGATCACATGTTAAATTCCAGTTAAATGAAGGTAAGGGTGTGTAATTTTTGAAACATATTTAGATAATGATGATCACTACGTGTGATTTCCCTAACACATGTAGATTGGAAGAACCAATAAACTATAGGGCCATCAAACACATTGGCAGAAAGCCGACGATTCTTCAGCAGCGACATAGCTGGCTGTACATAAGTTCAAAACTTATACAAAATTAATAATCTCCACATTGTCTTCAAGCTTAGAGTTACTAGATATAGTATGTGTGTAGGTATTTATGTGTAATTTTAATGCATATATAAATATATTTGTATATATATTATTTAGATTCTGGTCTAACCTGTCCAGACCAGAATATTCCAGGTTTTGGACCGGACCGAAACCTGAATCGCGAAAATCCTTGGACCGAAGACTGGACTGGTATGTAACCCCATGTCTGGTCTGAACTGTCCGGATTATGCTCAGCCCTAGTTAATAACATACTGCACTTCTAGATGAAGAAAGTTTAGCCTTGGAGGTAGGTTCAGGTTGAAACCATTATTAGATTTGCCTCCCCCGGTGATGTAAGTTTAAGGAGTAAGTTGGTGGCCTGATGATAGGGGAGATTGCGATAGAAGCCCTGGTTACATAACGATCTGGGCACTATCTTGGAGAGAGGCTCAGTGAAATAGACATGTCTGTGAAGATGTAGAATGCTAGTTGATAACACATGAGATGATGAGACCATAGATATATCAAATAGATGTTATTTTGAAGAGAACTACCTGAAGAGAAGCTTTAGTAAAGATGTGCACTAGACCAATTAATAAAAAAGACATCTAATTAACAAAACGTAGGCATATATGCATCTTATCAAAACAAAACACCGGAGTGGTACTTAAGTCCAAAATGATTAAGCATGTATAAATGTATAATAAAACAAGGACCTGACTTAGTTACCTTGAGTGTTTCCCGTATCTCATCATTAAACTTTTTCCCCCAAATGCTTGCACCACCTTTTCCTGTCCCTGTGGGATCACCACCTTGGATCATAAAACCCTTAATATTCCGGTGGAATATGGTCCCATCATAATAGCCACTTGCACACAACCCCAAAAAATTCTACATGCAAAGAAGATTCAGCATTGTCACCATGTCTATAGTCATGCGTGATGCGTCCATACATTTAAAAAAAAGTATAGGAAAATGCCATTATTGCCAAATAGTATTGATTTTGCCTAATCAAAAGCATTATTGCTTCTAGCATATAGGAAAACAACCAAGTATAATCAGGTAGCTTCATTAGCAGATTATGATCCGTAAGCATCACGTTCGTACAAAATTTAAGATTCTAACTTGTATAAAGCTCAACAAACTAAACTAGGTTACAAATATATTGGTCAGAAGAAGTTATAACAACTAACAAGAACTACAGTCATATAAACTAGTTTTAATTTTAGATTCCATACTAGAATAAAGTCAGATGAAGTTGTAACAACTAACAACAACTACAACAGCACATTTTATAAAAGAAACATGTTCTAACATTCTTTTTGTAGAACGGTCAAATTCAGTCATGTATTATATAACTATGATAAGTTATATGGGAGAGAGGGAAGGGAGATAGGGATCATTTAAGTTATGATAGTTACTTAAATGTCCAAAATAATTATTAGACATTTTTGCCCACTAAAGCTCGATAAGTTACAGTGTGACACTAGCTATTGTTACTCATAAAATTCAACACCACACATTTAATAAAACGCGAGACCGCTATCTGTAAAGCACATTTTTTATGATTCTGTTTGAATTCTTGGCAGTTTCTTGGGGTACAACAACCAAACAACAGCTGTTCAATTCGGTTTTCGCGGTCCATTTTTAGTTGTTAAGTTTTTCCAATCACATTTCCATCATTTCAATGGAGCCAAAGACTCACTATTTTTTGGCTTGGGAATATTATGGAATAAAACAAAATGACTCACTAAACTGTCTACGCTTCTTTGTTATGAAGTACTCCCTCCGCCGTCTCGCTATGATTGTCCCATTTTACCTTTTCGGTTCGTCCCACTAAAATTGTCTCATACCTTATTTGGTAAAATTTGTGTGGTTCTAAATCATTCTGACTTTATTCTTACTTTATCAATTCAACATCAACCGCATAAACCCACTTTTATTAATAACTGTGCCACCTTCTCTTGTCCCAAACTTAGGGGGACGGAGGTAGTAACAATCAGTCTATGAAATTTTCGAAGCGTTTTTCACCATGGGTCATTCGGAAACAGTCTCTCTGTGCTTTAGTACAGGGGTAAGACTGCGTACATCTGACCCCCCTTACCCAACAGTAGGTAATGATGGGGGAACCTTTGCGGCACTGGGGTAATGATGATGATGAAGTTTTTCCAATCACAGTTCATTTTTTTCGGTTTGGCTGGCATTTTGATTTGCATACATAACCATAGAATGCTCAATGCAACTTTAGTTGGTCTAGATCTATGTGGCGTTCTTTGTTTTTTTGGTAAACTTCATTACAATTGTTTAGAGTATGAAAGTTAATTTAAAGCATTATATTACTCCCTCTGTCCCATTTTATAAGATGTCTTTACTATTCACTTGGTCAACACAAATCACTCATAATCTCTTACTTTATATATCAAAATTTTATGAAATTTGAATTACTTTTTGCAGGTTTTGTAGCAATTTTAATGTGGTCAATTTTAATGTGGTTTTTGAATATGTAATTTTTTTTCTAAAAAAAATTTGAGTGCAGAAAGGGATCCATTTGCTTTATCGTCGGTCAAACATCGTAAACCGAAAAGTATCTTATAATTCGGGAAGGAGGGAGTATTACTTTTGTTTTGAATTATCTCTGAATGGATTCAACAGAACTATATAAGTAGAAGCACTGATGCAACTGCTCACCAAAGGGATATTTTGGACTTCTAAGCATTAACCAGCTCTAATGAGACAAGAGAGCTTATCAAGATATAATAACATTTAATCACACAGTCATTTGAACTCTCAATCAGAACACTATTTTGAAACCATCTCATTGTCAAGTAAAAAGATCGCTTTGAAAATACATAGTTTTTAACAGTTAAGTAAATTTTCAAGTCATGTAACCAAATACCCCTGGATAAACTTTAATCACCTAATGTTCAAGCTCATCATTGAACCTACAGAGAAGCAGTAAATTAACTGTATAATTCCATATACTAATTACTCTTTACTTAATGTTTTTGTAATCACCATGGCATTCATTCAGTATGTATGAAAACACTCATTTAGTACAGTTTTACTCTACAGGCAAAGACTATACAAGTAAAGCGGGAAAAAATGGCTAGCGATTAATTAAGTTATTAAGCACTATATAGTAAATAAAAGTAATATATAGGTTGATTCAAGGTTTTAAATTACTAGCAAGATGATGAGAACATTAAACTCAGAAAATCATGAGTAAACGGGAGTACGAACCTCCGCAGTTTTTGGAACCTCGTCACAGAATATTTCGCACTTTATGTCGCCCAGATTCGTGTGAAGCGTCACGGACTGCAAAACATTTCACAAAAAACTATGGTAAATCAACGCACTTGAAGAGCTTGATGAGACGCAATAGAGGTCACATACCATTACTCCTGCCTCGGGAGGTAATTAGATTCAGTTGTTCTGCCGTTCCGGTTTTCTTGAGAAAGTTCAAAAACCATAAGAATACTGGCTTTGGGTTCTTGTCATTTAAAATTGAAAATATTGGGAGAAATGGATATATAACCTTTTAAAATTGAAAATATTGGCAACGGTTTCTATTTTATGAAACATATAGCATTTTTATATGGGATTTGCATCTAGTAGATCCTCGAATAAAAGATACGGAGGCAATGATGCTAAAATAACATCTCTATTTTAATTTTATGTAGTAGTCTTAGGACATGTTTACTTCACCGGTTATTAAACGGTGCTTTTTAAGACCCGTGTTAATAAGCGGCGCATAAAATAAACAATGTTGTAAGACCGTGTTTACTTCAAACGGTTTAAAACACCGCTTAACATTAAAATGTCCAAAATAACCCTATACATATATATACACACAAACATTCATGAACACAAGTATATAATATAATATGTGTACCCATACCCCTAACCCCTTACCCACCCTACCTTACCCCGACCCCGCCTACCCCTACCCCCTACCCCTACCCTACCTACCCGACCCCACCCTAACCTGTCCCCACCCTACCCTACCCCCGACCCCATAGGCCCCCATAGGCCCGTAGGGTAGGGGTAGGGGTCGGGTAGGTAGGGTGGGGTCGGGGTGGGGTCGGGGTAGGTGGGGTCGAGGTAGGGTGGGGTCAGGGTAGGTGGGGTAAGGGTAGGGTGGGGGTCGGTTAGGTAGGGTAGGGGTGGGGTAGGTAGGGTGGGTCGGGGTGGGGTAGGGTAGGTGGGGTAAGGGTAGGGGTGGGGTGGGGTCGGGGTAGGTGGGGTAAGGGTAGGGTGGGGTAGGTATGGTGGGGTCGGGTAGGGGTAGGGTAGGTGGGGTAAGGGTAGGGTCCGGGTGGGGTAAGGGTAGGGGTGGGGTCGGTTAGGTAGGGTTGGGGTAGGTAGGGTGGGGTCGGGGTGGGGTAGGGTAGGTGGGGTAAGGGTAGGGGTGGGGTGGGGTGGAGTAGGTGGGGTCGGGGTGGGTAGGGTAGGTGGGGTATGGTGGGGTCAGGGTAGGGTGGGGGTCGGTTAGGTAGGGGTGGGGTAAGGGTAGGGGTGGGGTGGGGTAGGGTGGGGGTCGGTTAGGTAGGGTAGGGGTGGGGTAGGTAGGGGTGGGGTCGGGTAGGGTGGGGTCGGGGTGGGGTAGGGTGGGGTCGAGGTAGGGTGGGGTAGGTGGGGTAAGGGTAGGGTGGGGTCGGGGTAGGTGGGGTTGGGGTCGAGGTGGGGCAGGGATAACAATAGGTTACGGACGGGCAAGGGGTAAATTCAGAAACTGAAAAAGCTTAAAGTGCCGCTTAATTAATACATGAGGGTGGTATGCTTAATAAGCGGCACTTTAAGCACCTCTTTCGGTTAGTAAGCGGCTTTTTAAGCAGTGTGCGTGTTTACTTCACCTGTCTTACTAACCTAACTGTGACTTTAGCAGTGAAGTAAACGCCTCCTTAGTGTCTTACTAGATGTAAGAGCATCTCCAATGCTAAAACGTTAACGGTGCATACGTGGCATGAGAAATAACCAATTAAAAAACAATAAATACAATATCTCTCTCCTTCTTTTCATGGTCTTATGTGTTTATGGTAAGTTTTTGTCTGCAATGTCAATCACAATGTCTACATCTAGACATTGTGTTTGACATTGTGAAGATAAACTTACCAAAATGATGTAAGATTCTTTAAATAAGGAGAGAGATATTGTATTTATTGTTTTTTAATTGGTTATTTCTCATGCCACGTATGCACCGTTAACGTTTTAGCATTGGAGATGCTCTAAATGATTAAAAAAAATTGAAAGTAAGTCAAGAAAAGGCTATCTATACTTAATTAACTAGTATAGTACTCGTGCGATGCACGGGATATTAAAATTTGAGGTTGTAATATTTTTTTATAAATAAAAAAGGATTCAATTTAAAAAATTGATGAATGAACTATAGTGGACATTAAAAAATTTAAAATTAAGAAAAAAATGTTTATAAAAATATGTCCTCTTAACTGATCAACTATAATAATAAGTTCTTCGTAGTATCATATGTTAAGTTTTTACACTTAAGAGACTATGAGGTTATGTTATAGATAGTAGTAATTATTAGTCACGTTTCTTTCAAAAATATCATTAAAACCCCACTTTCACATTTCAATTCAAACTTTGTTAACTAAATTTAACAATAAATTATTCTTGAATTTGACCTTCCATTACATAGTTTGACCTTATTTTTTTCTTTTTTATTTGATGTGATGTGAGTAGAGAGCTAATTTTTCAAGCTGGAAGGCGTTTTTCATTTCCTTGTGGGCTTATGGCTGCCCTCCTAATAATAATCTTATAAGAAGACCAAAATCAAGTAATCACCTCAAGGTATCAAATACATTTACTTAATGTTTCTTAGATTGAAATAACAAAGGTCAAGAAGCATACAAAATCGAAATATACACTTTAATTACGACAAACCACTTCACATTTCCCGTCCACTTTAAGTGCCAAGATTATTTTAGATTTATGGATTATGGATTACATTCTAAAAATGAAAGTACTGAAAAACTTATTTTAAAAAATCAGGCCCTTAACAATTAATACATAAAACATACGATAGTACATTACTCTTCTTCCCTTCTCTTTCTTCCTCTATCCTCTGATTACCAGCCACACTACCGATATGCTCATATGCCCTTAGCTTCCTTAATCACCCCCTTCTTCCGCTCACATTCATGGTGAAGACTGAAGAAGTTCATATTAGTCCGGTTATCTTCCATTTTGTTTTCTTATTCAAAATCAAATAGATCCATTTGCAATACTTCCTCCGTTCTCAAATAAATGTAACGGTCAACATTTCACACTTGCCGAGACACAACGTTGACCATTAATATATATAATTTTGTATTAGTAAAAAAAATTTAAAAAAATAGATTTTGAAAATTTACAATGAGGTGAAATTAAAAATATTTTTTTCATAAAAAATATTAATACATTAATAAATAAAATGTAGTCAAAGTAGAACATGTGAATAGTGTAAAATTCAAAGTGTTGCATTTATTTAAGAACGGAGGTAATATATAAGACCAGCACGTTAATCATGACGTGACTCTTCACATATCATATGGTTACTCATTATTTATTATGTAGTGATAAGACAATCATTTTTAAAATAAATAAATTAACATCATGTAACGTATGGATTTAGCTGTTATTTGTGATTGAATTCTTAGCATGCATATCCATTCTCTTGAGAATAAATAATCTTAAAGGCCATGTTTGGAAAACAGCGTTTCGACCCATTTTTGGCGGATTTGACTGGATTTGGAGGTTTGAAGTCCTGAAAAAGCTGAATTTAAGTGTTTGGTAGTTAAGCGGATTGATTTAGCAGATTGGGTTGAAACGCCAAACACGAATACGCTGCATAACCCAGCGTTTAGGTTCCGGCGGTTTTAGTATACGTAAAAGTTCTCAAAGTTACCCTTTCATATTCGTTCGCCGCTGCTATACATATTCGCCGCTGCAGAGCTCCAAAGCATAACATCGCAACTCCAAAGGGCCAACTCCAAATTGTTTTGAAGGTACGCATATTTGCTATTTATCTGTAATTTAAACGTGATCCCTCCCCTCCTATTAATTAATTACTTATCAGGAGAATTTATGAAAATATATAAAAAAAAACCACCACATAAGCATGATCATTCATTCTCCTCCATCAAAACTCAAAAGACATACGAAGCATAAATCATACGGAGTACGAAGTATGTAGGTGCCATGTGTCATATATAAATAGTGTGATGTGGGCATGTGGCTATCATGCGTATAACCTCTAGATTGCAAGTCCCGGTCATAGCATGCCATATATGTGTGATGAATTTTTGTACTCCATAGTTGATTGTTTATATTAAAAATCAATATAGAGTCATGATAAGCGAAAAGATCAGGCATACATGCTGCATGCATGAGTTATAAAATTATACGTGGTATTAAACAACAAAGAGCATATTCTAAAATCTACAAATGTCCTTTTTTTGTCTTTTTATGCATTAACCGCTACAAGCAAACAGCTAAGTAACCAAACATATTTCTGCAACCCGCCAAATTAATCTGCCGGTCAAATCCGCTAATTCAATCCGCTATTTACAATCCGCTAACATTATCCGCTAACATTATCCGCTAACCGCCAACCGCCAACCGCTGATTGCCAAACATGCCCAAAATCTGTTTAGTCACCAAACATATGTAGGGAATACATATATATTGTGAAACCTTACTTTCAAGAATTGTGTGGCTACCAATGTTATTTGTGGTCAAATTTGATAGTCTATTTCATGCAACAAATCAAGTTAAGCACATGAGGGAAAGAAGAATTATACGCAGGAACAAATTTTATTTTGAATTGTTTGTCTACAACAATAATTATCATTAAAAGTAATGATAGAAGTTGCCACTGAAGACTCTCCACATGCATTCCATTTTGGGCCCTTTAGATACAGTACATATTGGAGGTTTTCTGTACAAATATTTTAAAAGAATTTGTTAAAAACTAAAAAAGTAATAACTTAAGTATATACGTAGTAAACAATGATCAAACTACAAGCCTGTTCTAAACAAACAGCAAATAAATAATATGACGCCGAAATTTGAAGCATGCATCAAACAAAATAACTTTTTAACAAAATTGGCAGCGTTCAATGCAATAAAAAATATAGAAATCGCTCAATAGTAGACTAAAAACATACACAAAGTTCAAAAATAGGATTAAGTATATTCTATTCTCTAAAAATATGACTTCTCAAAATAAATCCTATTTTGAGATTTTTTCTATATTAATAAAGTGGTGGTGCCCAAACCTAATTAATACTCCGTACTAAACAATGATGTTGCTTCCTCCCTGCATCCTCAAACGCGACGACCATGGGGGAAGACCGCCCGACTCTCATCTAGCTTACACACGCCAATTCCTCACACTTAATACGCCAGCGAGTTCATGCAACCACCTTCGGATCCAGAAATTGCAGATAAGTTCGCGGTGCTACTTCATGTTTATATATAGTACACACTACATAATACTCCGTACATGTAAACATATCTTGGTGAACTCAAAAGTCACACTGAGAACAACAAACATAATTTGGTTTGTCTCCCATATTAAGTAGTATTTCTTTCAAGTCATTGAAAACTCTCCTTAATA